AAGCCGTTCACACAGAACGCATATTTTACTCATTTTCTAGACGGACATCTATTACTGTTGCACTCGCATCTCGCACAAAGTTGCCGCATGTTTAGAAAGCCATGTAAAATTAATGCAAGTTTAACTTTGAAAAAAAAAACATATATCGAGACTTTATGGTGGGTTTTCCCCCATCCCACTGCATCTCATGTTTTTAAATGAAAAATGTACTCTGTGTGATTGGCTTTCGGCCCTTTGTATTAAACTATGCATACATACATGATGCTGTTTTGTTTATAGTTGTTTAAGCAACTTAATTATAATTGGTTTATAAACATTATTTTAAACATTATGCACTTTTTTTTTTTTACAGATAGTCGTTATCTTATGCTTTGAATAAACATGCATTAGTAATATTTTGCTCGATGCGCCCTCTTGTGGCCTCAGAAGAGAAGCCAAAAGCTTTTCTTCACCCTAACTGAAATTATGCATTTTAAATTAGAATATAATTCAAATTTTGATAATATTCAAGTACAAAATTCGAATTTAGTTTTTCAGCCATTTTGAAAGCCCCTAACTCACACACAAATTGAAATTATGTTTAAGTACTAAAATGACTAAAACTGAAATAAAAACAAATTAAGCAACAGAAATATTTTTAAAAATAAATAATAATTTTTAAAATAATAAAAATAAAAAGACAAAAGGTACAACACGATTACTAAAAATAAAAAATTAAAATGAAAATATAAAAAAAGTTTATTTAAAATGTGAATAAATACTAAAATAGTATATAAACACTACTAAAATAACACTGAAATAGTGACCACTGTCAATGGCAACGCTGAATAACTGAATAGAGAAACAAGTTACATATGTTTCAACATTTATATCCATTTATTTGTTTACTTGTTAAGAAGCCATCCGTGAGAAGTGAGATGTTCAGTCAAATGATCATTCGTGCAAAAAAAACCTCATCAGGGTAATTCTATTGAGATAATATAATATCAAGATAATGACTGGCCGACAGTAAATTATCCATTATGTAAATCATAACTGACAATCGTAGAATTATTAAAAAAAGACTTATGAACTAGTTCTTTTTAACGAATCAATAAAAAAAGACTCACTTTAGAATTCCTGTGTTACCAGTTTGAATCAGTCTATTGACTCACTCACTGAATCACTCAGAATGAACCACAGAAGGAATCAAAAGAACCAAATTGAATCATTAGTGATTCAAAATCATTATGTGGAATCCAAATCATTCAGTAATGCACTCGCAAATTTTATTCAGATCACTAAAAAAACTTTTGGAAGAGCACATAATAGTAGAAACCATCCATTTAGTAGAGATACAGTGCTACGATTAGAAAAATACACAGCGTAAAACCCACAGACAGCAGCGCAAATGTGTCACTTGATCACATTGCAGCAAAAGTCAACAGAAAGTGTTCAGAGATGAATTTATTCTCACACATAAACAGGAAAATCAGACACATTGGTGTGTTTTTATAAACAGAGACACTCGACTCACCTCTATAGTAGAAGAGGCACATGTCAGACAGAACAAACCATCTCTTCTTCCACATCTTCATTCCAGTACTGTCCTGCAAAATCCAGCAGCACAGCCGTCAATCAAACCAGCCGACCAATCACAGTGCAGCACAGAAAGCCCGCCCATTTCCAATGCACGCTTATTTTCCTCAATTATCTCTGCTTTGTTTGCTGCTGTTCTCCAGATGGAAACTCTCTCTCTTTTTTTTTTTTTTAAGGCGACAAAAAAACACCCCAAGGGTTCAAAAATCAAATTTTCAGAATTTCATATTTTTTCCTATTGATGTACTTTAAAGTACCATGATGCAAAGCAAAAGTATATTCATGTATAAATAATATTATATTTAATAAATAATAAATCAAAATGAACAATAAAATCAAATAAAATATCAGAAGGGGATGATTGATGAGAATTCATTTACTGTATTACAGTAATGAGAATCTATGTCCTAATGTGTTTAACTGTCATGAAAATAATGTTTTAATGCTAAAAAAAAATAAGTAAATAAATAACTCGCCAAAAAATCTTTATCATTTTATAACGCTACATACTTTTTTGTGCACATTTATACATGAGATTCTTTTTAAGGCGACTCATTTATCTGAGGCATGAATCATATTCATATTCCTCCCTCGTGTTTTACTGTTTGTTGAGTTAATGTTTGCACCATGTAAGCATGTAAATTTGAATTCAGACAACAAAGTCTGACAATTTTGCTTGTGCTGCGGGAGCAGCTTTGATGGAGGATGTTTGGGCAAGAGGAGAGACCACCTCTGTAGTCGTGTTTTTCGTGGAAACACGCTGCTTTCAAAGGAACGCTGGCGCAGCGATCACACACACAAAGACGCGCTCAACTTACTGATGCGACCGTAACGCTTTATGTGTTTATTTCGATCTGGCTTTTATGAGAAGCGGTTGTGAAAAATATGATGGAAAAGCACAAATGTGCTTGTGGAGTCGTGCATGGCCTGCATAAAAACAAAGGCAGATGAAGCACGGATGAAACGTTTGATGGATAAGCTTTTAAGTGCAGGCAAATCTCAGAAAACGTGACCATCAGCAACTAAATAACCATCAAAACTGCTCAACTGAAAACTTTTAACTCAGTTGGTCATGTACTGTGATATAAACATGATATTTTAGTTTTTTTTTTAATACATCAGGTTACTAAGGAAATGCATATGATTAGTATCATGCAAAATACAATTATATTAATATAAAATTATAATAAATAAATTATAAAAAATTACCAAATGTATTTTTTATTAAAAATTTACCAAATTCAATTTTTATTTATTTTATTGTCCTCATTTGTAAGTCGCTTTGGATAAAAAGTCTGCTAAATGACTAAATGTAAATAGAAATGTAAATTTATTTTTATTAATTTAATTTAATTTAATTTAGCATTACAGTAATGTAATATTATATTTAATAAATAATAAATCAAAATGAACAATAAAATCAAATAAAATATCAGAAGGGGATGATTGATGAGAATTCATTTACTGTATTACAGTAATGAGAATCTATGTCCTAATGTGTTTAACTGTCATGAAAATAATGTTTTAATGCTAAAAAAAAATAAGTAAATAAATAACTCGCCAAAAAATCTTTATCATTTTATAACGCTACATACTTTTTTGTGCACATTTATACATGAGATTCTCTCACACATATGCAAAGGTGTATTAATGGTTTGTAGGAGCACCGGAGCCACAAACCTGTTTGTAAAGCCAGCCGTTTTTCACCACCAGGGCATTGGGGTTCCTCTTGATGGAGTTGGACCTCTTGCCAAAGTTGTGGACTTTCTTTGAGGACCTGGAGAGCTGCAAACAGGGGGAGAGGAGAGAATTCTCAGAAACGACACTCGTGAGGGCTCAAGCTTGCCTGTATACATTATTCAACGATGAAGCTGTAAATAATCACAACTTACTAGTAAAGTCGTTTAGCGCATGCATTATGAATCAACAGCACTATCGAACCCTCAGAAAGTTAAAAAACTGCTTAACAGAAGCCAAAACACACGGGCAACAATCTGAGAAGAGCATATCTGTCATTCGTCTTGCTCTAATGAGACACAATCATACAGATGAGCAAGTCGCTGATCTCTGGACCCCTCCAATGATAAATGCTGACAATAAATCATCAGAATGAAAAACCAGTCTCATTTCATCATCTTAGAATCTTCAGAGACAAACTGACATTATTATCTGAGAAAATAATTTAGCCTTATGAATATATGTGTTCATGTATTTATATAAGCACTTGGATTTAGCGCATTCATTTAATTAATTAGGGAAAAATAACACGTTTAATTTATTAAGGCATTTAATGCACATTTAATGCCCCTGTATGAGTTTTTGTCTTATATTTATATAAATTCAATTAAACAACAGTTCAATAAATAAGAAGTTCATATTGTGTTCTATTTTAGATCCAATACTGTCTGTTTTTGCTCAATTTTGCCAATGAAAATATTACCTATAAAGGCACAGCAGAACTTTTGTGCATCTCCGATCAACAGACAGCAGTATTTTGTTTCTAAATAAATCCACATTTTTGAACAAATCAGGTGAAACAATGATTCAATGACTCATTCATAAAGAGAACCATTTAATGAATCAGCTGTTTGAATGACTTGAATGAATGAATGACTCAATGACTCACTCATTATCCAAGACATTTACTGCCACCTACTGGCAGTTTTAGTTTTTTATTTAGAGTATCATTTTATTACAAATAAATGAATAAATAAATAATAATAAATTCATTTAAAAACTAATTAAATTAAAATTAAATGAAAAAGAATAAAATTATTTTGATTACAATTTTTTTACAAATTAATAAAAAAAAAACATTGCATTTGAAAATTATTGCATTATTTATGCAATTGTAAATGCAAGGTGTAAATGCCACCTCAGAGCTGCAATAAATGGTCTGTAAATATACCTAAATACTAATTCAGATGCAGCTTCTGAAAAAAACTATTTATTTGATGTTGAATCAAATAAAATATTTATTTTTTTTGTCTATTTGATGCTTTTCTCATTTAACACAAAAATTACTTTAAATTATCTTTTTTTGGGGGGGATGGGGGGAATTTCTCAGCCAAATTTGATTTGGGTAATTAATTAGATTAAAAAGTTTAATCGCTTGATAGCTTTATATATGTACGTACTGTATGCATATGCATGTTCATTTATTTATTTGAGAAACGCCGGCATCCTGAGCCACAGCCACTCATTAATTGTTTATCTTGTTTGGGTGTTTTTATGTTATACAGAGTTTAGGGATGTGCAAAATGATATTTTCGGTGGGTTGTCTGAATGACAAGTCGACTAGTCTTTCGAAAGCCTTGAATAATGAATCTGATTTAGAAAATTCTCAGAGACCATCCACAAATTTTTATGCAAGATATTGCATTAAAAATGCATGATGGAAACACTAAGATTAAATGAATGAAGGTGCAGAGAAAAACACATTAATGCTTGCTTGAGATGGATTTTTAACTAGCTGACCAACTAGTCACCCATCCTAACCCACTGCATTTTTATGATACTCTATATCAACTCAACATCACAGAGCAAAGGCAATGAAGCAAATGTGCAGTAATGAGGACATAATTGTGTAACATGCTATTGATGCATGATGGGACAAGTCCAATCTGTCATGCTGGAACTAGGCCACGGTCAGTGAGTGAGTTAGTGACTCACTCTGGTTGTGGGGCTGCTGGGATGTGTGGCATAGTCTGAGCCGCCCGTGTAGTTCGACGCTTCGCTCATGGTGCTGGTTGGACGTTCTTTCTTCTCGGCCGCTGGTGCTTTGGTCGCTGGTCTGGAAGAGGTGAGGGGAAGACAAGAGGAGGAACATCACAAATTAATCTAATTTGTACATCATTCAGACTTATGGGAAGATTCTGGGTTATTTACAGCATGCTGTCGACTACTACAGACAATAATTTACTCAAAAGCTTTTATACTAAAGAAACTCAAAATGGAAGCAAAACAGAAAAGCAGTAATAGCTTGATAAACCGTTTTGAGCATGCAAAGTCACCATGGTTTATATACAGAAAATAATGTTATAATGTAAAAATAAATAAATAAACCAAGGGTCCATGTGTTTGTATGCATGTATGTATGTGTGTGTGTGTATATATATATATATATATATATATATATATATATAAAGTGAAAATAATGAAAATACTGTTCTAATGCATAAATAAATAAATAAATGAGGGTCCTTAAATCTAATTTTCATGAATTCTGTTGAATTTTTGAACATGTATTTATTTCATATGTATATTTATGTGATACATAAATATAGATGTAAACATATTGTAGAACTGTATATATATGCACGTCATATTTCAAGATTACTGCATATGAATTGGCAGGATTTTTAATCAATGCATTGAGAGAACATGACAGATTTACCTGCTGCTCAGAATAAAAACTGCACACTTCAAAAGCTACATGATGACTATTATTTGCATTTGTAAGTTATTTAAAACAGGAGTCATAAAGACTAACATATTCATTTAATGACATATTCTGTTGCCAGCATTCGTTGCAGGATTCAAAGTACCTTTGCATGACAGAAATCTAGTCTGGAGCACAAATAACATTTTTAAGAAGAACTGCTTCAACAAAAACAGACTGCAGATGTATTTACCAATTAATTTTTACCAATTAAAGAAGACCGTTTGTGGTAATCGACAGCAAGCCACACCTGACATCAGATTTAAAATAACCAGAAGGCTGAGAGATGTGCCGTGCAGATAAATGAGGAAAGTTCTGGAGCTTCTGCGAGACACTCGGGAAGTTCAGGCCTCTAAACTGCTGTTTTAATAAGCCAGAGCACTTCAGCATTGAGACAGAACGAGAAAGAGAGAAATAGAGGAGACAGGCCCCATGCATCAAAGCAATTACTCACTCCACGTCTCCGCTGATCTACTCCTACACAATAGACAACCTTAAATGGCCTGCCAGCTCCAGCTCTGACATACCGCAGATGCAGTTTATGACCCAGTCAAGCTGAAGGGCAAAAGCAAACCCAACGCCAGAAAAATCAAGGCTGTAAAACAAATGCCACCGTCTTATTTAATGAAAGTGAAGAGAAAACACAATAAATACGGCCATAAACCCTAAAATCCCATAGCACACGGACGCTCAGTCGAGAGGCTCTGTCCCGTAGGGTTGGCCTATTTTTCGATGCTACGGTAGAGCGACGACGTCTAGGGAAAGCGCTGCTATCTGGAGCAAGGGAGAGGAGAGAACACCAGGGTAAAATATAAGAGCTGTCTGGCTTCTGGGTCACGACGCATGAGGAAAACACTTTCTGTTTTACAAAAGGCTGAATACTAGCAGCGGTTAAACAGTCTGTTATTTGCGTCCCACAAACTGCATCTGGAGGTTAAAAGGGATGGTTCATTCAAAAATGACTTCTGTGTCACGTCGTTTCAAACCTGTGTGGCTTTATCTCTTCAGCTGAACACAAAATGAGATGTTTTGAAGAATATACTGACTGCTTTTTTCACTATCATGAAAGTGAAGGAGAACTGAAGATGTCAAGCTCCAACAAGGCAAAAAAGCATCATAAAAGTGGCCCGTATGACTGTATCCCAGTCATATACTTGGCACTGTAACCCAAGTCATCTGATGTCATACAATAGCTTTGTGTGAAGAACAGACCAAAACTGAAGAAGCAATTCACTGAAAATCTTAACATCTGTGCCCGCTTTCTCATGGGAAATGCAGATGTCCAGTTTGAGGACAAATCATTCTAATGAGTTTTTTCAATCATTCAGTTCACTACCAAAAAATAAATAAATAAAAAACTGTTAATTGTTAATTGAGTGGCCAACATTGAAATGTAATTGAATATAAGTGCATGTTGTCCTATTTCACTTGTTTTAAGTATAAACAAGTTTTTAAAAATCTGCAAGAAATGCATCAGGACAAAAAAGTCCAAATAAAATAAAATTATTTTAATTAATTTTTTATTTTATTTAATTTTAAAAAGAACTATTTGGACTATTTTAGAATGATCTGAGTGCTTTATATAAATCTCATAAAAAACTTACACTCGTATTCAAGATATAATCTATGAAAACAAGTCTTGATATCTCAATGTTGCTTCCCAGGCAAAGTTAACTTGTTTCAAGGATTTTTAAACTTTAAAAAAGTCAGAAGAGACCAACAAATTAATTTTTTTTCACCCATATCTTTGATAGAACGTGAGAAGACTTTAAATGACATGCACGGGTTGTCTGGACTACTTTTATGGTGCTTTCAGGTGCTTTTGAAGCTTATTATAATTGCATTAAAAAAAGAAAGTCATACAGGTTTGGAACAACACGAAGGTGAGTAAATGAAGACATTTTGGCTGAACTACTTCTTTAACAAACATCGTTTGCATGTGTGCTCGCCGTTTGACACAAGCATCTGATTTTGCATTGGAAACAAGCACAGAGAGACACTTTATGAGATGGTCAAAACAGTCAGCAGTCATGCACACACCAGCACCACGAAAAATACAAAACATTACACAACAGTCCATCCCAGAGGTATTCAAGGAAGGACAGGGAGGAAAGCCGGGTCAGGGTTGCACACAGATCCAAGTACGACCTTCCAGGCCGCTGATCTCAAATTAAATTGAGCATTCAACATGGCTATTAGCGTTCATTAATTAATCTCTTCTCAAATAATGAGCTTTAGCGTGCGCTCAGTAGCCACGCCGGCGGCCATCATTCAGCTGACATCTGACGGCATCTTTAGAGGAAGAGTGGCAGCGAGTGTGAAATTAGCCCCATGTGGAGCAGCTCAAGCGCGCCGAATCCAGAGATAATTGATGGAGGGGATGTTCAGATGGGTTTGTGGGCTGGTTGGGCACCGGCTCAACTGGAGGTCATCGGCTAAAACGCGAGAGTCATGCAAGGCTTTAAAACTCTCTGTCACTATTTGTCTCTGACGCCCTTCAACTCATCATTTTCATTTGCAGCAGGTCTTTTTGGGTATCTTGGCCCTGAAAAACAATGCCAGAATGAGGACAGCAGGCCTCTAGGACACGTTCAGGAAGCAAGCTGAACTTTCCCCGTCTTGCTTGCTTTCAGAACAACATTTTTGTCCCAGTTAAGTGCTTTAACGTGCGTTACTTTCAGGGACAGTTCCAATGGCGCGATTTGTTTTGATGGCAGCCATAAAAAGCTTCAAATTTAGTGTTAAAGAGTCAAAGGCCTGTCACTTAATGGCAGAAACAAGCAGAATGGCATCGCTCTAGATCTGACGGGGGCCACCGGAGGCGCGTGTACGTCGAGCCCCACGGCGCTGCGTGTTAAACTGCGACTCGTGACGAATGAGTGTTTCATCTCTGGCCCGTGTTTGACGGGACTGTTTACAGACTCGAAGTGCTCCGTCTCGTCGTGATGCGTGGGATTACGGGACCCCTGCCGAAGTGGCCGAAGACAACATAATTCATTTCCTGACTGAGAGCGACTTCAACATGAGGAGATTCATGTTTCATATTCAACGTGGGTAAGACAAATCGGAAGGCACACATAAATCTTGTATATCTCCACATTAGCGATGCATAGCAGGATATCAGGCAATCCAGTTCAAACAGTGCCTTGGGTTAGTGTTTGAGCAGAATTAATGAGACAGAATGGCAAAACAACCAGAGATGAATGTAGGCTCTGCGGTTCAAAAGAAGCGGATGAGAGAAGAGATCCCTGCAAAGCATTACCTGTTTAAAACAGGATGGACAAGTTTCCCACAATTCAGTCTAGAAAACAGAAAAAAAGGAAAGAAAATGAACTGAATACATAGTCATTTGGGGTTTTGAGAACTCAAATTATAGTTATGACACGCATTCAACAATGCAACCGTCAAAAGAATATGATTAATGGCAAACCTACTGGAAAATCCAGCTAAAACTAGCATCTGATGGTAGACGCTGGTTTTATATGGTTTTAGGTGGTGATTAATTGAAACCATCAAATGAAGATGATTAAGAGTTGATGGTTTTAACTGGATTTTCCTGTAGGGTTGCAATCTTCTCATGGTAGATGCTGGTTTTATCTGGTTTCTAGGGGATTCTGATGGTACGCTGGTTTTATGTGGCTGAAACCAAGAAAAGAAGAAGATAAATGGCAAACCTACAGGAAAAACCAGCTAAATCCAACATTTGATGGTAGACACTGGTTTTATTTAATTGAAACCATGAAATGAAGAAGGTTCTTGGCAACCATACTGGAAAATCCAGCTAAAACCAGCTTTTTATGGTATACACTGGTTGAAATCATGAAATAAAGATGATTAATGGCAACCCTACTGGAAAATCCATCTAAAACCAGCTTCTGATGGTAGATGCTGGTTTTATGTTTTAGATGGTCATTAGTTGAAACCATCAAATGAAGTTGATTATGGGTTGCTGGTTTTAATTGGTTTCAGCTGGATTTTCCACTAGGGTTGCCATCTTCTCATGGTAGATGCTGGTTTTATCTGGTTTCTAGGGGATCATTAACTAAAAATGGTCAAATAAAGAAGATTAATGGCAAACCTACAGGAAAAACCAGCTAAAACCAGCTTCTGACGGAAGACGCTGGTTTTATTTAGTTGAAACCATGAAATGAAGAAGATTCTTGGCAACCCTACTGGAAAATCCAGCTAAAACCAGTTTCTGATTCTAGAAACTGGTTTCATATGGTTTTTCTAGGTGGTCATCATGCTGGTGGGATCAAGGTTGACCTGGTTAGTTAAGCTAGATGACCAACTTGGGCTGATATGACTTGGATTTTCCAGCAGGGAAACATTAGAGAAGAAATAAGAGAAAT